TGAGGGCTGCTGGAGGGGAGGTGGGTGAGGGGATGGGGTAACTGTGTGATAGACATTAAGGAAGGCACATGATGTTATGTATGGTGATTAACATAACAATAAAAAAATTTTTAAAAAGGAGGGCACGTGATGTGATGAGCACTGGGTGTTATATAAGACTGATGAATCATGGACCTCTACCTCTGAAATTAATAATACATTACACGTTAATTGAATTTAAATTTTAAAAATTCAATAAATAAATAAATAAATAAATAAAATGTCAGGGACAAAACACAAAAATATTTGGAAACCATGTATTTTATAAGGGACTTGTACCTAGAACATATAAAGAAAACTTACAATTCAATATAAAGACAAATAACCCAACTTTAAAAATGAGCAAATGATCTGAATAGACATTTCTCCAAAGATGAAACAGAAATAGCCAATAAGCATATGAAAAGATATTCAATACATTGATTAGGGAAACGCAAATCAAAACCACAATGAGAATCTACTTTTGCACACACTAAGAAGATTAGAATCAGTAAGACAGCAATATAAAGTGCTGGTGAGAAATTGGAACCATCATAGAGTGCTCGATGGAATGTAAGGGTACATATGCTTTGGAAACTGTCTGGCAGTTTCTCAAAAGGCTAAACACAGTCACCATATGACCCAGCAATTCCACTAGTACACAAATTTCATTGATGGCAGCATTATTGATAATAGCTAAAAAGAGGAAACAACCCCAAATGTCCAACAACTGATGAATGAATAAATAAAATATGCCGTATCTTTAAAATGGACCATTATTTGGCAACAAAAAGAAATGCAATACTGAAATGACCTACAACATGGATGGACCTCGAAAACATTATACTAAGTGAAAGAAGTGAGTCACAAACAGCCACATTTGTATGATTCCATTCATATGAAATGTCCAGACTGGGCATATCTATATACAGGGAAAGCAGATTAATGGTTATGTAGGGTTGGGGAGGATGGGGGAAAAAGGAGTGACTGCTACTGGGTACAAGAGTTTTTTGGGGGGTGAAGAGAATATTCTAAAACTGATTGTGGTGAAGCACTGAATTGTACATTTTAATTAGGTGAATCGTATCTCAATAAGGCTGTTATTAAAAGAATACAATCCAGATAAATTTCTATATGCACAAACATACACAAGATTATAGTGTTTTACTTAGTTATTTTATATCTGTTTTACACTGAAAAACTTGATTCGTAATAACACTACGATTGTCTTACCTATATCTGTATCTATACAAATAAAAATAGTACCTGAGTAACAATATTAATATTACCAACATTACTAAAAGGTAAGGTTTTTTTGTAGTTCTTTTTATTCCTAAACTGTATCCCATCAAGAAGCATAGTCAAAATACTGTATTATAAAGTTATTTGATACAGCTCATGAATGTTTAGGTCACACTTTTGTTTCATTTTAGTTATTTTTAGGGGTTACCTTCCCCCCATTTCAACCTAATTTTGTTTTATAATTACATAAAATATTTACATGGTTAAAATTTGAAAACATGGTATATTTAGATAAGTCAAGCTTCTATTCTTGCCCCCTCCAATCTGTTTTTTTTTTTCTCTTCTCCTATTGGTAACCATTTTATTTTATGGCATATTCCTTCATCTTAAAACAAATTATAAGCAAATACATAAATACATAAATGATAGCCTACTATATACAACTGACCCTTTTTTTTAACATTATATTCTGAAGATCACTGTATATAAAAAAGTATTCATTCCAATGGATACAAAAATGCAAAAAAGCCTTACAAAATATTTAATAGTGATAGTACAGAAGGACACAGTATGATTTTCATTCTGTAGAAAGGAAAATTCATTCCTTTTGCTGCTGCATGGCACTCTATTATTTGAACTTGGGCATCCAACGTATGGAGTTACTGTAATTTATTCACCCAGTCCACTACCAATAGACACATAGGTTGTATTCAATATTTTGATATTATTGCAAACAGGATTGCTATATTTATACTTTTGTCAGTTTATCTCTGGGATAATTTACTAGAAGTGAGAATGCTGAGTCAAAGGGCAAATCCATGGGTAACTGTCTCCAATACTGTCAAATTCCTGTCCATGGAAGTTGTTACATTTTGCATTCCCACAAGCAATGTATGAGAGTGCCCATTTCCCTACAGCTCAATCAATAAAAAAACGTTATGGAACTTTTGGATTTTTGCCAATGTGATAGGAGAAGAATAATGTCTCAGTATAATTTTAATATGAATTTCCCTTACTATGAGTTAAATTGAACATCCTTTTATATGTTTAAGAGGCACTTGCATTTGTTTTTCTGCTGTTATCTTTAGTTTTCTATAGAGTTGGTGGTCTTCTCTCTCTTTTAAAAGTTCATACATCAGGGATAATAATATGCAGCAAATATCTTTTCCAATTTTTTTTTTTACTTTGTTCACAGTTTTTTTCTCCCCTAAGTTTTTCTTTTAATGTATGTAACCAAATTTATCAATCCTTTCCCATATTTTGGATTTTGAGTCCTAGTTAGGAAAAATTTCATCATTTCCAGGGTACCTGTATTTTCTTCTATTATTTTATATGAGTTCATTTTTTTGATTCATTTGAAATTTGTCTTGGTGTAGGGTATGAAGAATGAATAATTTCTGACATACTAATATGCTTGAGTAAGCCTAGTACTTGCTGGCTTTACAGTCTGTGCATATATATTTATTCACCTATTCAGTGTACTGCAAAATGAAAAACACCACGCATTGCTCTGAGGCCAGGGAATTTTATATACCATGTTAGAAAATAAAAAGTTCCACTTTCACAGAATGAAATCATACCGTGATCTACTGCTATTAAATACCCTGAGAGGCTCTTGCATTTTTGCAACTACTGGAATAAACCACATACTTTCTTACTGGTTGTGCCAAGTAAGATAAAATTAAACCAAAGATAACCAATTCCTGGATTAATGACATTTATTAATTAAAATTAAGGTTAAAAGGTGAAAATTAAGATTAAATGGGAGTTTTACACAGGGTAAGTGCTCATTATCCTTTTTTTTTTTTTTTTTTTTAAGTGCGCTTAAAAAATGTGGGGCTGGGCTTGAACTCACAACCCTGAGATCAAGGCTGGAGCCAAGACCCAGAGTCAGATGCTTAACCAACTGAGCCACCTAGGCACCCCTCAGTATCTTTGTAACTGAAATTTGATCAGTGTGATTCTATGGGTAGTTTTTGTTGCTTTGAAAAAAAAAAAATAACTGCAAAGCTTGCAAGGTTCAATTTTGTAAATGCATTAGGAATATCACCTACCATTATTAATATTATCAATTTTAACATTAATCTTTTCCTCATACTGACATTATGTGATAAATGTATATTGGTATCCTCATGAAAAAATTAAATGGCTGAATCAATAGCAAAATTAGAACTTACACCAACTAGAAACTAATACCAAAGCTTATTTTGTTACCCAGAGAAAAATGTATAATGCTACAAATAATTTAAGTTTGATATTATTTAAATTCATGTCTATTATGTGGTAAGTTCTGAGGAAATTTTTTGAAAGAATCAAAGTTTCTAGATGAGAAAAATAAAGCAGACTGTAAATGTCAGGGCTCTGGGATGAAAAAAATCTCACTCTTCTACTTTAACTGCTCAAGCATATAAGGATTCGTTATTTAATGAATGGCCTCTACTGGAATTTCAATAAAGCGAATAAGGAAAGCAACATATGATAACATCAATGAATAATCTACAGTCTCATTTTGCCTACTTTAAGCAAACTTTTTAATTTCAACCCAAGAATAAAAACCAAGTCCTCAACTTTGGCATTTTCAATCTCCCTCTATTTCAGATAGTGATGTCTAATGAGCTGGGAGATAATCAGGAAAGAGGCAGAAAGAGAGATGGCAAAAGTCCTGGATGACATATGGTTCACTACTGGCTATTGAAAAACTTCATTTTATAGATGAAGAAGTTACTGCTCAGAGTTTGTGACCTGGACAAAGTTGCACAGCTGGTTAAATGGCAAAGCCAAACCCAGGTTTCAGGTCTTTAACTGAGTCAAATGCTCTTTACAGTTTGCCATTCGGCTGGTCAGATTAGATAATTGGGAAAAAAAAGTGAAGCTGGTTCAATGTAAATATGTATTCTATGTCAGTTTAGAAGTTAAACCTAGTTTTAAACATTCAATTCCATTCTTTCTCATTATTTAAATTATTGAGAAATCTCAATATGAAAATTCAATTGTTTTTACCTTTGCCTAATATATTCTTTTTCTCTATATTTAATCTCAGGAAGTAAATATTTTTCTAATGGAAAACATTACCTTATTGAATATAAAACTCTTCATTGAAACAAAATTCCATATACATTACTTATAGGTAGGAGACTAAAAGGATAATTCTACTACAGGATCTACCCTAAATATACTGAACATTTAATAATCATATTTAATTAATTTATACCATTTCAGATATGAAAACTGAAGCTAAGGTCTAATTTCAGTCTAAAACATACTGAGTACTTACTATGGACCGGATACTGGTGATGCAGTCTGAAGATAAATTACCAAACTGAAGTAAAAACATGTATTTCTAACCTTTGGGACTAAGCTCATTTAAGCCATACTCCTGAGTGAAAGAAGTAAAATCTCAGCAGCCTCCTATAGAAGTATTCAATATTTTTTATGAAAATAAGACTTTGAAGAGTGTTTACAAAATACAATATAAAGATTTAAATTTAAAAAATTCTTCTAGTTCCTGAAATTATTGAGATTATTAAGTTATATTCATAGATGCTAACTCCAATTTTATGACTTCTCAATGGTAAGATCATCTTATTTCAATAATATAGCATTTATAATACTCTAAAATACATTTAGAGATAGAACCTAGATCCCAAATTACTTGTCTGAAATGAAAGCTGTCCAAATCTATCTGAGGATTCTCTCTTTCCTAAGGTTGGGAGATTGCTTATGGGAAAGGACACGTGTACCTTTCCATGACAGCCAGGCACTCCTTTCTCCAGGTAAATCGACTCCCTCGCCGTAGTCGGAAGGTGCCAGATGTGGCAGAGACCGGGGGAGGTGTTTGTCTCCACTCTGGGTCCTCTATTGGAATGGGGGCTGGTCTCATACTTAGTGTAGCCCCTGAAATAAACAAGACATTTTTAGCAAATATCTTGCAATTTATTAAAATCAATGACAAATATAACCATGAACTCAACAGTTTTTGTCCTTCCATTGGAACTTGCAAGCCAAATACACCTGATATTTACATTTTTAAAAAAATCTCCTGGGCCTCTCTCATAGTGCCTGCCCCATGCCAGTGCTAACTGTTGCCGTGAAACCATTGCCTAGCCTCTGTGCCACAGGCTACAGGCACTGAAGCAGTTTGTACTGTGGGGGGAAAACAATTTGACCCAAACAAAAATCCAAAGGGACAAAACTCTTCCTTAAAAAGTTTATCATTAATTACTTTAAAATGTCATTTTTTTGGGGGGGGGTCACTTGTCTTTTATCTTTGTTTGTGTCATTTTTTGAAACAAAGCCCAAAATCTATCTCTTTAGGGGAAAAGGGAAGTATGGTCTTTGGACCAATGACAACTTAATCAGAGTCTCTTCTGAAAAATCTTTCTTGAAATTTCTGACAGTTTAATCTTTTGAACAATACACACTATATGATCAGAACCTTTCATTACCACTCAAAGGACTCTTGTTATTGAGAAAATGGAGCCCTTAAATGTATGCAGGTAGGAGATGAATTTAAAATAACCCTAATTGTTGTAAATTCTTAAAGAAAAAAAGTCAAATACAGCATCAAAGACAGTAAGGTAGTATTCGACATGATTTTAGTCTACTAGTTAATCAGATCTCCATAGGTCTACTATGTGTTAAAGCTATATTGTTTTCTGTTACCACTTGAATGTAATAAAATCAATGGGGGAAAATGTAATTAGGATATTTTATTAATTTCGACTAGCCTTTTCTCAAACAATGAACTGCTGATGATGCATGTATTCATTAGTTCACCATTTATCAAGGGGGGGGTCCCGTTCTTTTGGCTTGTTCTAGGTTAGAAGCCAGAAAAAAAAAACAAAACAAACCCAAAAAACAAAAACAAAAAACCCAACATTGTCTCTGACCTCTGTAGAGTTACTTCAAAGAAGTTAAATATAACTTGGTATGTGTTCATAAAGTTCAATCCCTGGATCTCCCATTGTTCCTTCATTCTTTTTTTTTTTTTAATATTTTTTTTAAGATTTTATTTTTGACAGAGAGAGCGAGCGAGCACAAGCAGGGGGAAGTGGGAAAGGGAGAAGCAGGCTTCCCGTGGAGCAGGGAGCCCGATGCGGGGCTCGATCCCAGGACCCTGGGACCATGACCTGACCCGAAGGCAGACGGTTAACCGACTGAGCCAGCCTGGCACCCCTCCTTCATTCTTTATACTGTTAAATTCATCTTCCCAAAGCATAATTATGATCATAGCATGCCACTGACCAAAAGCCTTCAAAAAGTTCCCACTGCCTATGGAATAAAATACAAACTCTTAATATAGCCTTAGAAAGACTGGTTAGAAATTGTTAGAATTATGTGGAATAATGCACATATTAATAAATACATATTTATTTCTTCATAACAAGAATCATACTTTATTGTACCTTGTAATTAATAACTTGGATAGTATTTCTACTTTACTACATGCAGATCTCTTTGTAGATCCCCCTTAATAGCTACATATTTATAATATGTATTACAGAGGCCCAATATTTTAACCAATCCTGATTTTCCTCTCCAAACCTGTTGTTTTGTAGCCCTTCCCATCTGAGTAAATGACATCCCTATTCTTCAAATTGCTTGGCTCAAAGTTCTCAGATTCATCTTTGACCTCTCTATTTCTCCCATATACCATATATCTAGTCCATAGCAAACACTGTCAATTTTATCTTCAAAGAATCAGATCAACTTGTATTACTTTAACTAGTTTTAGAATAAGCCAGCATCATCTCTCCAAAGCATAACTTCCTGGGAAAGGTTCCAAAGATGGCCCTTCATAATAAGTCACACCTCCTGATAATCATGCCCTTGAATTCTAAGCTGGTCCTATGACATGTTTTGACAACAGAAAATGGAAACAGTTCGAGGCTAGATCATAAGACCCTTTGCAGCTTCTAACTACATCTTCTACAATGCTGGTTCTGGGGGAAGTCAGTTGCCATATTAAGAAGTATGACTAACCTGAGACTATGATATTGTAAGGAAGCCCAAGCTAGCCACATGGGGTGAAAGATGCCCAGCCAGCCCCCAGGTGGCACAGTTGAGGAAAAAAAAAGCCATTCTGGGTATTCCAGTCGCAGCAGACACCATGTACAGAACTGTATAACCCAGCAGACAGGGAGAAATAAGGCCCTAAGCATACAGTACCAATACAGCCATGTGGTAGTCAGCCCCCAAGGTTCCAAAGGATCCCTGCCTCCAAGTATTCACCTGTTGTGTAGTCTCTTCCCATATTATATACCAGGATGAGTCTGTGTGACCAATAACATATGGAAGAAGTGATGATATGTCATTTCTGACATTACAGAATACACCATGGTGTCTGTCTTAGCAGATCTATCTCTTAGATCACTTGCTCAGGGGAAAAATAGCTGCCAAGTTGTAAGGACACTCAGGGAGCCCAAGTGAGAGAACGTGAAATCCCTGGCAAAGGGCAGGAAGGAAACTGGGACCTGCCAACACTCAATGGTAGTGGTCAGTGGCAGATTGTCTAGCTGGCTGACAGCTCGACTCATGAGAACTCTGAGCAGAACCATTTAAGCTAAGCCACTCCTGGATTCCTGACCCACAGAAATTGTAAGATAATAAATGTTTGTTGTTTTTAGCTGCTCAGTTGTAGGGTAATCTGTTGCACAATAACATAAAACAAATATAAGATATTATAAGCATCTCCAGTTATTTTCCCACATTCCCCAACATGAGTATTAGGAGTATTACTAATTATTCACATTTATAAATTTGGCAGGCAAAAAAATTTCCTTTAATATAGAGATTTCACTATTAGTAAGAATGAGCCTCTTTTCTCGTTTACTGAACTAAAAAATATATATCTTTTCTTGTGAATTTATATCTTTTGTCTTTTCTTTTGAGTCACTTTTCTTACTGGTGTGTTGAAACAATACCAATTGCTAGTCACACAGATTGCAACTTTTTTCCCAGTTTGTCATTCGTCTTTTATCTTTACTTATGGTGAGCTTTCTGATTTAAATCTTATGTAGGCACATTTGTCAACCTCTTCTTTTGTGGTCAAAATGTTTTGTATCATTCAGAATATTTTTATAGTTTTCTTACTGTTTAAACCCCTAATAGATATATGATTTCCTGTTGTGTGTGATGTAAAGTAAATATTTAACTTCTTCCTCAAACGGACAAGTATGTCATCACACAATGCTTTAGAGATTCATGGCTTAAATGTATGACAGACTATGTCCGGCTGCCATATAAATAAAGTTTTACTGGAACATAGCCATACTCATTCATTTACATGTTAAATCTATATCAAAGTTTTACATTTACATTATATTTGCATCAAAGTTAAAGTTTAGGCATAAGGAAAAAATATAGGGTTGGAGGGTTTCAAAGTCTTTGTTTTGGTACTTTTCTGCATGCGTGCAGTGACTTCAGCATAACAAGGGCTCTGGAATCTACCTAAGTTACATTATGTAAATTTTGTTCAACAGCCATAAGAGGTCCAAAGCAGAGCCAAGCAGCTACCATGAACAAGAGAGAGGTAAAAACAGACTGGGCAAGGCAGTAGGTCCTCTCATCCAAAGCCTGGCTTCTGGTAAAAGGATAGTTTTAGGGTTTCAGTGGATGAAGGATAGGGAATAGGTCAGTAAATTATAATTAGTAGGCTACATTGTAACTATGGCATGTTTTCTTAGTTGAGTGATAAATGGGTATAAATAAAACAAAGAATACAAAGAGTCTTAATCATGAGATTGAAGAAAATAAATTAACTGATAATAGTTCTTTCTTGGTATTGGGGTTTATTGATCATGTAACTATGCTTCTTTATAATATTCTGTATTATCCAATTTTTCTATACAAAGGAAATTTAGGTGAAATAAATTACTTTAAAAGAAATCAAGACAACTTATGCACAGATGGGTGGAAACTCAATAATTTCAAACTCGTAAACATACTGAATTTGAAACATAATATTATCACATTACTTTTGAGGGTTTTTTTTCTTGCTTTTTCTTTTTCAATGTAGCAGTATTTAAAAATAGCACAAGCAGCATTCTGGAACACTCCAATAAACACAGATTTGTTCTAGAAACCTTAGTTAATCTTGCTCTAGTCAAAGTGGATGGAGAGCAATGAATAACCCAAGAATGGGTTCAAAATTATAGATGACAGAAAAATACAAAGATACTAGAATGCAGGAACAATGTAATTTTAAACCCCTCTGAAGTGAAATACAGGATTTCTGGATTGGCTAAAGAACCCACTTTTTTTTCCTTACAGGAAATGTGTTACCTATTTTCTTTACAGAAAAATTTTTTTTCTGTCTTGTATCTGGGCTCTCATTAAGAACAAAATTTTGCACATTTATCTAGCAACTCTAAACCCAGGAGAAAAAAAAGTCTTTTCCTAATTTGCTGATAGAATTTTAAATTTTGATAAATGTTCTCTTTGTATAGATGATAATTTTCTTATCAGGTTTACTTCTGAGTGAGCCTTTGCCAGTCAACTAATAGAGTATGACTATAAGCATGTCATTACTATCCCATTCACAGAAACTAGCTTTTCCAAAAGTAATTTCTCATCATCCCCTATGTCACACACATGATTTCCCTGAGGCTCTGACACCCTGCAATAGTAAAGGGAGGAGGCACTACTTCTGATCTCCAAATTTACTTCATGTGCTTGCTATATGAGCCTCCTGGCAAACTTTACTTGTTTAATTTAGAAATAGGCAGAATCAGTGCCATGAGCCAAGAGGAACTCAGCAAACCCTGTCTGCTATAGTAATGTTTAAATTAGACAAGGGAAAAGACTGCTGAGCTTAATGTGATTAAATAAAAGGGTTTCTGATGTCAACCATGCTGAATTTAGTACCCGCTTCTTTTAAAAAAATAGGCATTTTC